TTTGGAGGGCAGAGCAGCAGGGGGCGGGGGTAAGATGTGATATTGTTAATGCTACAGTAAATTAATATTCGCGTGAGGTCATCTATCAGCAGAGCAGGCGAGCCGTGAGGAACATGATAATACAGGCTGTGAGCAGAGAGATCCAGAGGTTCAAACTGTTTCTATAGCAACAAACTTCACTTCACAAACAAATTATTTCAGATCAATCACATTTTTTCTCATTAATCCAGTGTGTTAAAATAAAAATTAGTTTCAAAGTTTCTCTCTAATTAAAGCCATCAGCGCATCAAATAACTGGTTGCAGCATTTAGTCCTCCTGACCAGCAGGGGGCGAAAGTGGAGAAGAAAAACACCCCGTTAACGGGGAGAAAGCTCCAGTGGAACCAGAACCAGAACCTGGCTCAGTTAAAGGAAGAGTTTTGCATATTAACCCTCTAACGTGTATTTTTTGTTTTGTTTTCATTATTTTATTTTGCCTCCAGTTTTCCGTCAGACCTCAGATTCTGACCGACCAGCAATGGAAAAACTCTTCATTCAAACCAGAGTTTCTGTTTCCTGTCCCCCAGCCAGGATGGAGGAGCAGCAGACAGAGCAGAGCCTGGGCTGCATTAATGGGCTCTTTGCACCTCAGCTTCCGCGTTCGGGGTAAAGCGGCTCGATTGTTTCCGATCCAATACAAATATCATTTACATTAGGTGCTTGCAGTGCTTGGCCAAGGTTTGTACATCGATCCGAAGCCCCAACAAGTCAGCTGGAGAAAGGTTTGAGATGTTCGCCTCGTTATACATTCACTGATACGAAGGTGAGTTTTACTTAAACTTTGTGGCTAACATTAACCTTAGCTTATGGCAGTAGGCGATATTCTCGGACATTGTTCTTGTAAAAATGTGCTATTTAAGTATCTAAACATTCTAACGGACAATGTTTTTACCTTATTTTCAAGTATATTATGTGTGTTTATTGTCGTTAGCGTCACAGACTAACGGGGAGGTTACGGTTCGGGCTTTTTACTTCCGAAGCCTGACGAAGCTCAACAAGCCTCATAGCTTGACAGTAGCGCAGCTCTGGTGTCAGAGATCTGGTTCAGCTGACTGTTCAGGTTCAAAGTTGCTGCTTTTAGAAAAATATGACCGTGTTGCTTCATGTCTCCGTGTTATTTCGTTTTACTACCTTGGCATGTTTCTTGTGAAGAGCTCAGCTAGGACGGTGTTTACAGCAGGATGTACAGGCGGATCAGTTGCTCGGCTGTCTGGCTCTGGTCTGCTCTCTCGTTCCCATATACTCGCTTTTTCAGGCTGAATATAGAAGTGATTCCATGGAAATAACTCAGGGAGGCTCCTTTATTTACCATCCGTATCCCCGGTAGTTTTAGGCTGATCCGGAGTGAAGTGAAGGCTGCAAACTTTGCTGTGCGGTGTTAGCTGGTATCGACAGATATTTACAAGCCATCTTCTTAATTCAGGATCGCTTGGAAATTAACGAAAACTTAAAAGCCCATTATATTAGGAAGACAACAACCTTATTGCGTTTTTTGCATCTGAAATACGACTTAGTCTTTTCTACCAGTCATGGTAACTCAAAGCGGAAAAAAGTGAGCCGCATTAGCTCCTGGAGATGTGACGTCAACGCCGTAGATGCAAAAAACCCATTAATCCGGAGGGCACTCATTTAATAGACAGTAAATTGCGAAAATAACTTG